ATTCGCACTGTTGCGCGGCCGTCACCACCGTCCATCTCCAGAACCCTTTTCGGCATCACGGCTTGACACTCGGTGCCGTTTAACACCGACTCACGGTTCCCCTCCCTGCCAGCCCCGGTAACCGCTGCTCTACTTTCCGTCTCCGTGAACGTCCCCGTTCAGGGACCACCTCATACAAGCGAGTCATACAACATGCGACCTTTTGCGTTGGCTTATCTCTTAGCATGATATCCCCGAGGTTCATCCAGGTTGTAGCGTGATTAGTCCTTCGCTTCTCTTCATGGGCACATAACATCCCGTTGTGTGACCACATTTTCTTTGCCCAGCAGTTTGTTCAAGTAATTCATTCGCGGACACTCGCGTGGTTCCCACCTCTGGCTGTGGCGAGGGGAACGCAGTGTCCGACTCAGGCTCTGCTCCAGTTCCTGGGCGCGGATGTGCCGAACCACAGGAGGGTTCTGTGCAGCTCTTGGCGGAGCCCCCGAGTTGTTGCCGCGGCAGCTGCGGCGTTTCTCGCCAGCCGTGGTGCGCGGCGGTTCCGGCTTCTTCTCGTCCTTGTCAGCACTTGCTATTTGCAGGTCTTCGATAAACGTCCTAAGGACGTCCCAGTGGGTGTGAGGTTTTGGTTTGCGTTTCCCTAGCGATCAGTGTTCTCGGGTGCGTGTGGGCTTCAGCCCGGTTTACGCTGCGTGGGTGGGAGTTCCTTGTCCCTTCTGGGTGATCCTTGTCAGACGTGCTCTGCGAGTGTCTTCCCGCCCTGTGGGCCGTCTGTCCACCCCTGCTTTTGCTGCCCGTGCTCTCCCTGTCATAGCCCAGCAGCCGTTGCCACGTCCATCGTGAAGAAGCTTTTCTCCTGAGAGCTTCATGGTTTTTGTGAATGACATTTCGGTCTCTGTTTTGAGCTGGTTTCTGTGCACGGTGTGAGGCAAGGGTCCAACCTCATTCTCCTGTGCACATGCGGCTCTCCCAGCGCCAGCTGTTGGAATGCCTGTCCTGTCCCCACCGAATATTCCTGGCACCTTGTCACCTCGCCTGCCTGTGGTCAGGGTTGATTCCTGGCCTCTGGGCTGCCTTCCCTTGGTCTGTGTGTCTGTCTTTATGTCAGTGCCACTCTGCTCTAATTGCTGTAGCTTTGAAGTAATTTCTAAAATCGGTAAGTGTTAGTCCTTCAACTCTGTTATCAAGATTGTTTTGATTATTTGGGGTCCTTGGAGATGCCACATGAATTTTAGGATGTGCTCTTCCATTTCTGCAAACGATACTCAGATTTTGATAGAGGTTGCATTGAATCTGTAGTTCACTTTGGGCAGTACTGTGATCTTAAAAATACTAAATATTTCAATCCCTGAACTCGGGCTATGTTTCCATTTATTTGTGTTTTTAATATCTTTCAGCATTATTTTGTAATTTTCAGGGTACAAGTCTTTTGCCTCCTTGGTTAAGCGTATTCCTAAGTATTTTGTTCTTTGTGATGCTGTTGTAAGTGGAACTGCTTTCATAGTATTTACTGGTGTTTGAAATGCAATTGAGTTTTGAATGTCAATTTTGTATCCTGCAACTTTGCTGATTTCTTTATTAGCTCTAACCAATTTTTTGTGGAATCTTTAGGGCTTTCTACAATGTAAGACCATGTCATCTGCAAACAGATAATTTTACTTCTTTCTTTGCAATTTGGATGCCTTTTATTTCCTTTTCTTGCCTGACTGCTGTGGCCAGGACTTGCAGTACAGTGGAGAATGGCAGTGCTGACAGCGTCCTTGTCTTGTTCCTGGTCGTAGAGGGAAGCTTCCGGCCGCCGTTCCCTGGGGCTCTGTACGTGTCCTTTATCAGACTGAGGATGACCCTTCTGTTCCCAATTTGTTGTGTTTTTATCATGAAAGGGTGTTGGTTTTTGCCAGCTGCTTTTTCTGCATTGCTCAAGGTGAATCGTGGTTGTTTCCCCTTTGTTCTGTTCCTTTGGTGCGTTATGACAGCGGTTGATTTTCAAGTGTTGAAACATCTTTACCTTCCACGAAAGAAACTTCACCTGGTCATGGTGTATAATCCTTTAGATACCACTGCTGCGTTCCTTTTGCTGGTATTTTGTTGAGGATTTTTGCATCATTTTTTTTTTTTTTTAGTTGGTTTTGTTTTGAGACAGGGTCTTTTGCCCAGGCTGGAGTGCAGGGGCGTCGTCCTAGCTCACTGCAACCTCCAACGCCTGGGCTCAAGCCATCCTCCTGCCTTGGCCTCGAGAGTAGCTAAGACTGCAGGCGCCTGCCACCATGCCTGGCTAAGTTTTGTATTTTTGTAGAGACAGAGTCTCACCATATTGCCCAGGCTGGTCTCGAACTCCTGGGCTCAAGTGATCCTCCTGCCTCAGCCTCCCAAAGTGCTGGGATTATAGGTATGAGCCTCTGCGCCCAGCCTATAAGGGATATTGGTCCGGGTAATTGTGGCGTCACAGAGTACGTTAAGAAGTGTTCTCCCCGCTCCAATTTTTTTGAGCATTTGAGAAAGACTGGTGCTCTTTAAATATTTGATAGAATTCACCAGTGAAACCAGTTCCTGCGCTTTTCTTCCTTGGGAGGTTTCTGACCACTCTGTCCTGGGGCTGGTTACAGGCACTGCAGCTTGTGTGTGTTCCACGGACTGGTCCTGGCATCCAGGCCACCAAGTGTCACTGGACAGTTGCTCATCACAGCGCGTATTCTTAGCCTTTTTGTTTCTGTGACATTGGTAGTGACAAGCCCACTTCATTTCTGGTTTCAGTGATTTGAGTCTTTCTTTCCTGGTCAGTCTGGCTAAAGCTTTGTCAGTTTTATTGATATTTTGGAGGAACCAACTTTTGGTTTTTATTTTTCTCTCTTGTTTTTTATAATTGCTAATTTATTTATCCCTAATCTTTATTGTTTTTTTTTCCTTTTGCTACCTTTGGGTTTAGTTTGCTCTTCTTTTTCTAGTTCCTTAAGGCTGTGGTCCCCAATCCTTGGGCTGCGGACCGGTACCGGTCTGTGGCCTGTTAGGGACCCACCTCAGGAAGAGATGAGTGGCAGGCGAGGGGAGCCTCATCTGTATTTGCAGCCACTCCCATCCCCCCATCACTCACACCAGGGCCTGAGCTCCGTCTGCCCCCACCCCTACCCCAGGCCCTGGAAAAATTGTCCTGCATGAAGCCGGTCCCTCATGCCAAACAGGTTGGGGGCCCCTGCCTTAAGGTACAAAAAGTCAGGTTACTGATTTGAAGGATCTAAGTACGCACAGCTGTAAGCGTCCCTCTCAGCACCGCTCTCCCAGGGCACCGACCACTGCTCAAGAATGTGTTAATTTCCATATATTTGTGGATTTTCCAGTTTCCCTTCCAACACTGATTTCTAGTTTCATTTTCGTAATCAGAAAAGACACTTCGTATGATCTCGTTCTGCGTACGTTCGTAGAGACGAGTGTGGGGTAGCTTGTGCAGCTGCTGCTGGAGCTGTCGAGGTCTCGTTCCCTCGCCTTCCTGCTGTTCTGCCCGTCATTAGAGGTGGGACATTCGTGTCTCCAAGCATTAAGGTAGAACTATTTTTCCCTTCAGTTTTGCGAATGTTTACTTCACGTTTGTGCACGTTTATATAATTGTCACACAGTCTTGGGGAGGGGACGCTGGTGTCAGTGTATCATGTTCTGACTTAAAGTTTGTGTGCCGTAAGGATCCCGAGCTCTCGTGTGGTGGTTTGCAAGGAGTATCTTTTTCCTCCTTAGATCTAAAATGAGTCTCTCATGGGCAGCTTACAGTGAGATCCTTTGTTTTTCTGCTTGTTCAGCCTCTCTGTGCCTTTGAGGGGGAGTTAATCCACCTACTCTGATCACAATAAAGAGAACAAAACGCAAAAGTGACGCTTCCCGTCATTTTTGCCTCTCCATTGGCTTCTGTTGTAATGACATATTTTGATTCCTTTTCTTATATATTCTGTTGCCATTTCCTTTGTGGTTACCATGGGGATTACATGTAACACCCCAAAACTACCCAATCTGAGTTTAAATTTACCCCAACTTGACTTCAGTCGCCTACAGGAGCTAATGCTACACAGCTCTGTGTGCCCCAACTGTTTCCTGTGTCGCAGATGACACCTTTATCTTGTGTACCCCCAACATAGCTTTATAATTAGTTTTTATGCATTTGTCTTTTGAGTCCTGTAGATTTATAGGTTTGTGCGCACATTTACCATCGGCGGACCTTCCTCCCCGCCCAGCTCCCGGTCACCGTGTAGCGTCGTGCGCACGCGGCCAGCCTGGCACGTCTTCCAGGTCCGGCTTGTCGGTGATGGACTCCCAGGTCTGCAGGACAGTTCAGCTGGACGTACAATTCCCAGTTGGTTTGTCAGTTTTTTTCCTTTGAATGGGACAAGTTTTCCTGTTTCATCTGTTCGCCTTGTGATTTTTTGTTGTTGAAAATTGGTCCTTTGGAAAAACAGGCTACTCTGCCAGCCTGTGCAAACTGGTTCTGTGCGCGCGGCCCTCACCTGTTGGCTGGGTGTGCCCTGAGCCTCAGGGTCAGCCTGAGGTCCAGGGTGACTGCTGTCCCCAGGTCCCTGTGTGATGTGGCTGCTCTGAGTGTCTGAGCTCCCCCTCCTCCCGCTGCTGGGCTCTCCATGGTGTCGCATGTCCACCTGGCCCGAGGTCCCTGCTGCTTTCCCGGGCAGCCACCGACCCTCCTGAGCCCTGGGTAGGCAGCGTGAGACCAGCACAAACGCCACAGAGCTCGTCCTGCCGGTCTGAATGTGGCTTTTTGTCGGGTGGGCGCTCACCGGCTGCTGGAGACCGTCTGTGCTCCAGCTCAGCCAGGTCCTGGTGCTCTGGTTTCCACGGGAACCAAGCTCGGAGCTTCCTGGGCTGGCGTTTTGCTGACATCGGTCAAGTTCTCGTGCTTCATCTTAAGGCTTTTCCCCTGCGACGGCCCCTAGCGTTGCGGGGTGTCCGCTCTTCCGCCGGCCCGGCGCGGCGCGGCCCCCGTCTCACCTGCCGCTCTGCTCTCCTAGGGCCCGAGCATCTCTTCAGACTCGCCGGCAAGTGCTTCAGCCTGGTGGAGTCCACGTAAGTGGGGGCTTGGGGGTGGGGTGGGTGGAGCCAGGGACCCCTGACACCGCCTGTGCCCCCAGGTACAAGTATGAGCTCTGCCCGTTCCACAACGTGACGCAGCACGAGCAGACCTTCCGCTGGAACGCCTACAGCGGCATTCTCGGGTGAGCGGGGGACGGGCAGGTGGTGCCTCAGCCCTGGGGCCCAGCCTCACGCGCTCCCCCCGCCCCCCAGCATCTGGCAGGAGTGGGAAATCACCAACAACACCTTCGCCAGCATGTGGATGAGGGACGGTGACTCCTGCCGCTCCCGGAGCCGGCAGAGCAAGGTGGGGCAGTGAGGACGGGTGCCCGGGAAGAGGGGCCTGGGCTCCCCCAGCCCGCCCACCAAGGCCCCTTCCCCAGGTGGAGCTTACCTGTGGAAAAAGCAACCGACTGGCCCACGTGTCCGAGCCCAGCACCTGCGTCTACTCGCTGACGTTCGAGACCCCCCTCGTCTGCCACCCCCACTCCTTGTTAGGTAGGATGCTGGGCCGCGGCGGCGGGGGGGAGGGGGGGGGGTGCCAGGGCTCGGCCAATCCAGGTTTGGTTGGATCCTCAGTGTACCCGGCGCTGCCGGAGGCCCTGCAGCAGCGGTGGGACCAGGTGGAGCAGGACTTGGCCGATGAGCTGATCACCCCCCAGGTGAGGGCACACACAGAGGGGCACCCCTGGCCGGCCCGCTGGGGGGCGGGGTGCTCCATCTGTTGCCTCCACCTTCAGGGCCATGCGAAGCTGCTGAGGGCGCTTTTCGAGGATGCTGGCTATTTAAAGGCCCCAGGAGAAAACGAACCTGCACTGCAGGAGGGAGGTCCTGAGGGCCTGGGATCTGAGACCCTGGAAAACTGCAGAAAGGTACAGAGCTGGGGGAGGGGGCCCTGGACATGACAGCCGCCCACCAAGTGGCTTGACTCTCCCTTGAACTCCTTTGTCCTAGGGACACACACAGCTGTCAAAGGAGATAAAAAGGCTTAGAAGTTTGCTCGCCCAGCATGGCATCCGCTACACAAAGCCCACAGGTAAGTCACGCCTGGGGTGGGGCCGAGCCCACCTTGCAACTTCCTGCAGGGCCAGAGCCTGACGTGCCACCCGGTGTTCGGGCAGGAACCTCCAGCTCCGAGCACTTGGCCCGCGACACACTCACAGACAGACCCCCCGAGCAGCTGCGAGGTGATCCAGGACCGCGTGGGGACTTCCTGTGACCCAGAACCTCGGGGAGCCTGGGCAGGGGCAGAGAAGCCGCGGCCGCACCGCAGGCTCAAAAGGCCCAGGAGCAAGCGCACTGCAGCAGAGGCTCCTCTGGGGCCAGGCGGGGACACTCAGGGACCAGCCGGCCAGTTTCAGTTTGTTGCCCAGAGATGCAGACAGAATAAAGATTCAAAGTTTTAATTAATTCCCATACTGATAAAAATAATTCCAAGACTTCTGTAAACCATTGCATAAATGCTATAGTGTAAAAAACTTAAGTGTTAACAGCTTTAAACAATTCACTACAAGTAAATGATTATGCATTATAAATACTACCTTCTTGTTTAAGAAAATTCCATTCAAATAACATTCTCATTTAAATACTGGAAACAAACATATTGGGGTGTCCATAAATTAATCCACATGAAGCATCCACACTGAACCAAGAACTCCTGCTGACCAGTTACGTGGACGCTGTGCTGCTCTGCCGTGCCCGCCAACACCTAGCGCGAGGAGTCGACAGACAACAGGCAGCAAGGAGGAGGCGTAAGCGGCGGCAGCGCTGCAGCAGCTCCTACAGCCGACTCCGCCCCTGCCTCAGCTCGTCCAGCTCGGCCTCTGAGGCCAAGGGAGGGGGAAGCTTCCACCCGCTGTGGTCGCCTGGGATCCACCCCAGAGGCCTCGGCACTCAGAGACGAGCCAGGAGGTGGAGCGGGGAAGGACCCAGCGTGGACAGTCCCCCAGATCTGCTGCCGTCACCGACCCTAACGGTGCCCGTGTGCCTCTGGAGTTCCCCTCCTGGGCAGTTCTTTGGTCTTCCCGCGGCACGCCTGTCCTCACAGCTGATCTGACCTGAGAGGAGCGTATGCACAGGGACAGCTGTGCCACCCTCCCCCTCCGGAATGTGTCCTGGAGACACACTCCGCAGACCGGCCACATTCCACAGAAAGAACTGACCAGAGTAGCTTATAGACAGACCTAAAGCTTAATTGTCCTTAATTATTTATAATTTGAAAATGACTAGGCTAGATATCAATAATAAACGTCATCCTGTTATCCCAACAAAGACCAAAGGCTTGAAATGGGAAACAAGTGCATAAATAACAAAAATAACTTTAAACAGTGATAATAGTAGCACAAAATATATGTAATTTCTAGTTACTGAGCTAATAAATCATTATCACTATAATTAAAAACAATAGATTCACTAAAACCAAGTCAATAGTTACCTTTAGTAGCAGACTAGTGGCGGACTATCATGGGTCCACTTCCTTCAAGATGATAAAACTTTCCTGTCAGTTTGTTTTACCTTAAAAAGTGTTCCTAAAACTCCTACTACATTAAGTATATTCTAATTTGGTCACTGATAAAAATTTTTACCTAGTCACTTTGCATTTTAAAAAATGCTATTAAAAGTCTTTGGCAAAGCCACGGCCCAGCAGAAGTGTGTCGCTGTCCCTTCCAGGCCAGGGGCCTGGAGCCCGCTCCCCCTCATGCACCCGTCGGGCGGTCGGGACCTGCCTCGCAGAGCGCCAGGCCTGGGGGAGCCACGGACAGCCGTCCCTTCTCCCCAGGTTTCCAGGGAAAGTCCCACTCCTGACCAGAGAAGGTTCATGTCGCCGCACGAGACACGTTCTCAGGAGCGTTTCTGCTGCAGGCAGAGGCCGAGTGGACGGACAGAGGGACCGTGGCCACTCCTCTGCTCCAAGCCACTGAGGTCCTGCAACCTGGTCCTGTCAACCTCCGTCACGTGGATAAGTTGTGACAGCAACTCGACGTACAGACCAGGCGACGGTGTTGGCCCAACCGTTGCCCTGGGCTCCAGAACGCGCCCTCGCGAGCCCCTCCACACAGAGCAGCCGCTCCCCACTCAGACCGCCACCCCCTGCACGAGCTGGAGGCCCAGCGGCGCCAGAAGTCACAAAGCACCGTCGCCGTCACTATCTCAGTAACTAGTCCGAAGACTGTTCCTTAGAAATTTTAAAAACCTCTAAAATCTGATCCCTTGTTTGCATTTTTCATGAGCATCAGCTTGTCTTTCGGTTTCAGGGATAAAATGAAACCAAATGAATTGTCCCTTCACTTCTCTTGCAAGGCACAGGCACTTAGAGAAAGTGGCCACGGATCACACCGCATGATGGCACTCGCTGTCACCTGGGGATGCTGGAACGCAAAACTCCCAACCACACGCATTTAGGAAAATTAGTTCCTTTCATAAAATTTTTAAAAACATCTAATGTATATGTGTCTTTCACTAATCACTCTCTGCTTATAAATGCTGTTTGCATTTAATTTGAAAACAGTAAAAATCCTAGGTCTCATTACTAGATAAATGCTCATTTCATAAATGCTAGTCTCAGATACGAAATCTAATATATTTACCATACTACGGACAGACAGGCCGATACGAAACATTAGGTTCACACGCACATAAAGCTTCGTTTCATCGCATATTAAAAAACACGAACCGAGAAAGCAGCTTAGAGCAACTGGCAACATCTAACTAAATCTCTCATGTTACAAAGTGCTTCGACTCAGTGGCCTGGTCACAGCAGTGCAGAGACCACCCGGCCCACCAAGGCGACAGTGCTCTCGGGGACAGGCGGGCGGGGGCTGTGGGTTTGCTGTTGAGGTTTTTGAGGGACAATACCTTGAAACCTTCGGTGGGACGGGACCGGTGGAAACACCACGGATGGCGGCCCCAGGAGTGAGTGATGGTGCGGCCACATGCACAGGGACCACTGGAGCCTCCGAGCCCAGTGGTGTGTCCCCCAGCGCTGGTCACCACTGCAGGGGCTGGCCCTCGCAGTAGGGGCACTCGGGCGCGCTGGCCGCGCACAGCTCACAGAGCACGCGATGCTGGCAGGGCTGCAAGACGGCGCCGTGAGGCCGCTCCCGGCAGGCCACGCACTGCTTGGCGTGCAGCTGGAAGATCACCTGTGGGCGGAGACACCGCGGCAGGGGTCAGGGGGCGCCCCCAGGGCAGGCCACGCTTGGGCCCGCACCGAGGCCACCAGCCGAGGGCCTCCCGGGCAGGCAGAGGACAGCCTGGTGGGCCTCGGGAGCATCTTGGGACAACCGCTGCCGGCTACGGCGAAAGGAGCCAGCGCCCGCGTGAAGTACCCAGGAACAGCTGTGGCCCTGTGACCCTGGTTCCAGGGGCACCCCAAGGTAAGGGACAGAGTAGCCTCCTCCCCAGAGGGCACAGCCTGGCACACCCCGGTGAGAGGGCGAATGTAGAAGATTCCAGAAAGGAGGGGCAGGGGCCAGCCTACCCTGAGAGGAGCACACAGTCCCAGGGAGATGGGCAGAGAGGGCTGCAGGCTGCTGGCCCTTCACACGTGCCCCGGAACAAAGCCCTGAGGGCAGCGTGGTGTGGCAGGGTGAGGGGTGGGAGGAGCAGGAGACGCCGCCAGGTGGGATCCCGGGCCCCTGCCCCCTCCCGGGGACAGCACGCCGCAGGGCGCTCGCCAGGGCTGGCCCCTCAAGCCACCAACAGGACTCACCCCGTCCACCGCTTCCAGGTCCAGGCGCAGCTGACTCTGCAGGGAGTGCAGCTCCGGCAGAGGGAGGGCACCGATGTCGCCAAAGCTCCGCAGCCCGGGCAGCGAGGACAGGCCCAGGCCCTCGAGCTCCTCCTGCAGCTGCCGGACCTGGGCCTCCACCTCCTCCTTCCTCTGCAGCGCCAGCTGCCGGTCGCTGTCCGCCGCACGGGCGCGCTCCTTGGCCTCCTGAGCCTCCCGCTGCCACGCGTCACAGGCCTGGAACCCAGGGCCGTGCAGGAGGTGGTGGCCAGGGCACCCCCCGGCCCCCCCTGCCCCAGCGCTCCCCCTTCCCCAGCGCTCCCCCTCACCTGCTTCACCTGCCGCCAGGACTCCTCCCACTGCCGGATCTTCCTCTTGGCCTCGTCCAGCTGCCGCCGGACTCGGGCCAGCTCGGCACCGTTTGGACTTGCGCTCAAGGACGTGGGGCCGGTGTTCAGGACGGGGGACGGGCTGGGAGAGAAGCTGCCGGAAACAAAGTCCCAGATGCTCCCGGGGACACCATTCAGACCTGGGTGTGGAGGAGGGGATGACACAGCCCAGCCACGCCCTGTGTGGGGACCCCCCGGCCCACGCACCCTGACTGCAGGGGTGGCGTGGGGGCTCGGGGACAGTGGCACCAGTCCCGTCCCCGCTGACCTGCCCCCTCCCACACAGGCCTTCGGACAGGAAGGGGACCTGACCACAGCACCGGGCACAGCAGAGACCCAGACGCTCGGGCCCTGGGAGCCCTTCACACACGCAGACCCTCGGGGACTCCAAAAAGCTTTGCTCGCGAGTGTGACACGTGCTGATACATACGTGGTGTCAGTGATCGCATCTGAGCATCGGACACACTAAGAAATGTTAACTCCTTAAAACATAACACATCACATAAAACATTTTCTGTTCTTTTTTTTTTTTTTGAGATGGAGTCTCACTCTCTTGCCCAGAGTAGAGTGCCGTGGCGTCAGCCTAGCTCACAGCAACCTCAAACTCCTGGGCTCAAGCAATCCTCCTGCCTCAGCCTCCCTAGTCGCTGGGGCTACAGGTGTGTACCACCATGCCCGGCTAATTTTTCTATCTTTAGTAGAGACGGGGGGTCTCTTGCTCAGGCTGGTCTCCAACTCCTGGCCTCAAGAGATCCTCCCGCCTCGGCCTCCCAGAGTGCTAGGATTACAGGTGTGAGCCACCACACCTGGCTGTAAGATAACATTTGCTTTTTTTTCCTAGAAGACCAGGACAGTGATGACAGTGTTTTCTAAGGGAAAGATAACGGGAACACGGTGCTGTTCCCTGCTGCTGATCAGGCAAATGACACAAGCGGCTCCTGCAGCTGGTCCACACGGCTCGTGCCTGTGCCTGCGCCGTGCCTGCGCCGTGCCTGCAGGGGGATCAAGGCCATCTTGGCCTCGGTGTGCAGCAGCACGGATGGAAGAAAGCCCTGCGCAGGCTCCACGCCCCGGGGTCGGGCCGCCTCACTCACCTAAGGAGCTGTAGGAGGAGGCCGAGGAGCCCAGAGTGCCCGGCTCCGAGCGGAGGGGTGGCGGCTGCTGGGGGGGCGTCATGGCCGTGGAGACCAGTGGCCCTGGCAGGGACTGGGAGAGCGAGCTGAGTGGCGAGGTGGACAGGGAGGACGAGGAGTGCAGGGACGGTGAGCGGGGCAGCGAGCCCGGGATGGTGACAGGCGCCGAGCCTGCCGGCGACCGTGCACCTGTGCGGGTAGGAGGCCGGTGAGCTGGAGCGCCAGGCTGCTTCCCCGAGATGCCGCGAGCAGGGGCGGCAGCCATGGAGGAGGGATCCGGGGTGCTGGGGGCAACCAGGGGTGCTGAAAGGGTGGCCAGGGCTGGGCCAGCAGCTGCCCATCAGGGGTGTGTGGCTGGTGGGGCCCCCAGGCGGCCTCGCCCCTCACCGCTCAGCCACTAGCGCATGCTCCCAGTGCTTTAAGGCCCCAAAATGGTCTATTTACTTTCAAATCAAAGAAAAGATGATCTTTCAGGTTGAAGGGGACAATGTAGCACGTGGCGTTAACCTATCCTCTGTACGCAGCGTGGTGGTTAAAACACAGACTCCTGCATCCCTCAAATGCTGCCTGTCCCTGCAGGGGCCACGCGTCTCCGACGGAGGGGACCGAGGAAGAGTGGGGGCTGCCCTGCAGAGAGGAGGGGACCCTCCCACGCCAAGACCCCCGAGCGCTGAGGAGGAGCATGCAGGCCTTCGGTGCTACCTGCTGGCCTGAGGTCGCGGCCGTCGCGCTCCTCCAAGTCCTTCTCCAGGGACGCGATGTTCACGCTGCTGAGGTGAAGGTCTAACGCGGGACCTGCAAGACAGCCTCAGCTCAGGGCAGCCACGTCTGCCCCAGTGAAGACAGAGCCAGGAGGCGCCAGAGGTGCTGGGGGCCTGCAAATGAGCCCCCCGGCCTCCTGCAGTCAGCCAGAGGCCGGTTCTTCCTCAGAACAGAGGCATCCGGGCCACACACCCCAACCCCAGCACACAGCTCTGGTCTCACCGAGTATCAAATTTGACCAAGTAGGCCGGGCGCGGTGGCGCACGCCTGTAATCCTAGCTCTCTGGGAGGCTGAGGCAGGAGGATGGCTTGAGCCCAAGAGTTGGAGGCTGCAGTGAGCTGTGATGACGCCACTGCACTCCAGCCTGGGTGACAGAGCAAGACTGTGTCTCAAAGACAGGAAGTTTGACCAAGTAAACATACTTCACCGTAAAACACTTTCCCAGGAGGGTGATTTTGATCAGCAAGTGGTTCACAGGCAATTTTATGCCAAGCACCAAAATGACGATTCCTAAATCCAGGACGACAGGACCCAGGACCCCACACCCAGGGACGGAACCTCGCAGCACAGACGCCACCTGGCCTCAGCAGCTGATGCTATTCATTCCACCCCCGGGCACCGAGTAGGGTCCTGCCCTCCAGCCTCCACGGTGGGGACCCTGGTATGGCCCATGAGGGCCCCTGGGCCTCACTCCCTGACCCAGAACTGGCCCAGCCTGGCAGGGCCGAGACACCCCGGGAACGGCCAAGTGTCAGGGTGACGGCGGTTTGCTGCACAGGGTGGTCCCGGGACGGAGGACGGAGAGACAGCGTGGGGAGGGGAGGCTTCGGCAGGAGCGGGGACGGCCGCGAGCGGCCGGACGCAGAAGAGCCGAGGCCAGGGACGGAGTGAACAGACACCGCACAAGGGAGGGGCTGGCACAGGGACTGGGGGGCGCTGCTGCCTTTACCACTACTAGCGGGAAACGCGGGTTCGGGAGCACAACTTGTGACGAGGGCTAAGTTCCCTGCACGCGGGCTCTGCGGGAGCACAGTGCAGAGCAAGGCTCCAGTCAGCCCCGACGGGCCCAGCTGCTCCGTCCTTCCCCAGCCAGGGCCTGAGGACCCGTCAGCTCCACTCCGCCTGTGGGGGCCACGCAAGCCAGCTGCGGAGCGTGGCCTCGCCCCATGCCTGGCACTCAGCGGCCCCACCCAAAGGGGGCTAATGTGGATTCCGACAGCGCCCCCCAGCCCTGCCCCCCACGACTCCCAGACCCCACCCAGCCCTCGCGTGTTCCTCGAGGGAACCTCAGGGCACAGAGGCTGCTGAGCCGCCCTGGAGCCAACAGCCCTCCCGCTTGCGCCACGGCGCCTGTGGGCAGGGTTAGGCCCCGGTGCCCGGGATCTAGGCTGGCGCACGGGGCGAGGGCCACCCCACGACAACGGAGCCACTCAAATGAAGCTTGAAGGAGGTTTCCGCAGGTCTCATCCGGGACAGAGACGGATGGCAGGAGCCCGCGGCCCATTTCCCTCTGGTGGCTCTAGGGGTGGGGGCCGGAGGCTCGCCCTGGAGGACACCAGGCAGGGCAGCAGCAGAGGGCAGCCCAGACTGCAGCACCCAGCGCCGTTCAGTCCTCTCCCGCGTGTGCGTGGGCCAGCGGACGCTCAGCACAGTGGCGCTCGGCACAGGCGGTCCCTGTGACCCACCTGACGTCCTCGGGCCACAGCAGAGGATGGAACGCACGTGGAAGGTGCCTGAAACAAGGGTCCTGACAGGACAGAGACGCGTGGTGAGGCCCGGGGGCACAGGACGCCACCTTCGGCCAGAAGAAACTACCAGAGACAAAGCACAGAGGACGGAACAGGTGGCTGGAGCAGCAGGAGAGGGCAGCTGCCACCTGCGCGCACAGGCCTCGCTGCTCCCGGGGGTTCCAGGGGCCCTTCCTGCAGTGGCTGCCTCACGTCACGTGGGTCATACTGGAGGAAATGGAGTGTCGGCGTCAGGCCGCTGAGTAACAAAGGACCACGCCGGGTGGCTTCGAATGACAGAAACTTATCCTCCCACAGTTCTGGAGGCCGGAAGCCCTAGGCTGAGGTGTCAGCAGCGCGCACTCCCCGTAGAAGCTCTTCCGAAGGGTTCTGCCTCCATCCCCCAGCTTCCGTGGCTCCCAGGGCGTCTCTCCAGTCCCTGCCACCGTCTTCACGTGGGCTCCTCCACGTCCGAGTCCAGACTTCTCGTAAGGATGCCGGCCGCTGGACCAGGGCCGACGACACCGACCTCATCCTAACTTGACATCTGCGAAGTCCCTACATCGCCCTCATCGACGGGGGATACCTCCCAAGGGCCCCAGCGGACGCCTGAAACCGCAGATAGTACTGAACCCTGAGTATTTTGTTTTTCCTACACATACACCGCTACGATAGGTTTAATTTATAAGCTAGGCACAGTAGGAACCCCAAAATAAGTAACAACATAGAACGATGACAACACACTGTAATAAAGTTGCGTGGATGTGGTTGCTCTTGTTTAAAACATCTGTCCTCCCCTCCCGCGTTTTCTGACCTCAGTTCCTGGGTAGCTGAAACCAGGGAAAGCAAAACTTCAGATGGGGCCTACTATGTTCCCACAGATGCCAGGGCTTAGAACTCAGACGTATCTTGTGGGGGACACCAGGAGACACCCCCCCCAGGCCCTGCCTGTGCCCTTCAGGACTCTGCCCCCTGCCATGGAGCCCTCTTTGGCCCACCTGCCCTCCTTCCCTGAGCCCCTCGCTTCCCCACGGCTGTTCTCTGTGGCTCCTGCCGTCTCACTCTCCACCGCTGCCCAGGTCTTTTCCACAGCCCTGCACCTGTGGCCTGAACCACCTCTGGTCAGAGGCCCCGTCCTCCCTCCCCGGCCCACCCCTCTGCATCCCACCCCCGTCCTTGGGGCCCGGCAGCCTTTTCTGTGGCCGAGTCCACACCCAACAGTGGCTTTGCAGGCCTGACCGGGTGCCCTGGGCCCAGCATGGACCACATCCCTTCCTTCTACCAGGGCAAGGCCAGCAAGGTCCTCAGACCGCACACACTGCAGGGTCCCTTCCTCGGGGCTGCACCCTGGGCAGAACCCAGATGGAACTCCCTGCCCCGCCTCCTCCCTAACCCACGCCAGCGGAGGCCCAAGCCCAGCCCTTGCAACATCCCCAGAGTGACCTTTCCACAAGGACAACTCCAGCGTGTCCTGCGCGTGCTGGGCACGGCTTCCTGGTGGGTCTCCCTCCCAGCGCCTGCCCCGCCACATGCCGTAGGCTCAGCCTGGCATGGCTTCCCAGGCTAAGTGATGGGGCGGGCTCAAGCCCACCTTCCCATGTGGCCTGGTGCATGCGCCATGGCCGGTCCTTGCCCCAGTGCTCCTTAGCCGGGCCTGGAAACCTGGACTTGCTCTGTGCATCTGGAGCCTTGGGGCCAGGATGGGGGGGCCCTTCCAAGCTCACAGCGTTCCAGGAACTCTGTGGAGACCAAAGGTGCAAAGGAGTCTGAAGGGAGGAGCCGCCCGTCCCAGGCTGTGACTCGCACCAGTGCTCCTGCCGCTGCCCTGTCCCTGCCCAGCCAGGTGCAGGCACCCCGGGGGCCACGCCGCAGTCAGCCTCACCTGACAAAGCACAGCACTTGGTCCTTTAGAGGCACCAGCCGCAGCCTAACGGGGACAGATCTGCCTTGAACCACAGGGAACCACAGTCTGGAAAGTTCCCTGGAGAGGCACGTGGGGAGCCCCTGCACCCCCACCCCAGGGTCCCCGGCCCCATTTCAGAGCCAGTGCCTGGGAAGGGCAAGGGGAGCCCTTGATCCAAAGAGGGGGAGTCTCCGGAGGCCCCAGCACTCCTGGGGAGACAGCTGCTCCCAGGGCGAGCCTCCTTCCTCCTACCTCACTGCACTGCGCCCACGGTCAGACTCAAGTCTTCCGAAACATTCTTACAGAAAAAACTGACTTTTAAACAGACGCTCAAAATCTAGGTGAACTCAGTTATGTAAACCGCGCGAGGCTGCGCTGTGCCGCCTGACCCAGAGCCAGCCTTGCCGAGCCACCAGGAGCGCCTGGCGTTCCCGAGAAATCACAGGAAGCTGCTGAGTAATGGCCTGGCACAGCCGCCAGAGGTGACACAGCACATTCCGCCGCTGCTCCCCTGGGGTCAGGGACAAACGGGGACAAGCCACACAAACTGTACTGCATCAAAGGCCTAGACAGGGAACCCCCCAGCTGCCACCCAGGTAAAGTGCACGCCCCCAGCCCGGCTGTCCTCAGAGAGGGGTGGGGAAGCTCCAGCAAACCCACTCACTTGCCCCAAACCCACTCACCTGCACGTGCAGCTTCAGGCGGTGCCGGAGGCCACTCACAGCCCAGAGGAGCAAGACCCCAGGCGGAAGGCGATAGGTGCCCCGCCGGCCGCCCTCCCTGAGAACCGGAAAGCCCTAGCCCGAGACAGGTTGCTCGTTCCCCAGCCCGGGAAACCCGGAACCGACCTCGCGGCTACCACCCCTCACTCTGGGACGTGGGCACTGCGGACTGGTACGAGGCGCACCTGGGGAATCCGCACCTGCAGGGGTGCACCTGGGGGAGGACAGCCCGCTCCAAAGCGCCGCGTAACGAAGACCCGCACCTAGACGGCGCAGGGCCGACGAGCACACAGGGTCCGCCGCCGATGCTGACTCACGGTGCGCGACCGGCCCCGCCGCCGCGGATTCAAACCCGGCCGAGCCCCGCCCCCAACGAGCCCCGCCCCGCGCTGGCCCCGCCCCAACCGGCCACACCCCCAATCCCAAACAGCCCCGTTCCGCGCTGGCCCCGCCCCCAAACGGCCCCCGCTGGCCCCGCCCCCCGCTCGGCTTCCTCGGAGGACAGGCCTGGCCCCGCAGAGGGTGGCGCGCCGTGTCGCTGCACCAGCACCTGTTCTGTGCCGTGCGAGGCGACGTCCCGGGGGTGTCGGGCCCAGTTGACACGCAGGCAGCAGGGGGAACGCTCGCTGGACCAAGCCTCCTTTCGTGCAGGAGGTCGAGGGGTCTCCGCGGCCCGGCTTCCCCCGCACTGCCCACCTGCACCTGCGCCTGCAGGAAGCAACCAGCCGCAACAGGACGAACGCGGGGACGCAGTCCCGCCCTGCCCCCGCGGCGAGCCCCTCTCCTCCTCCCTCTGCTCGCGGCCACACCGCATGAGCTCACGGGTCACTGTTTTAACCTAAAACCTAGTATGCAGTGGATGGCCAAAAAACATGCAGTCGATCCAATGGTCCGGAAATGATTCTAGATCCTTAAACACAGAATCGGCCTGAAAAGAGCGCCGTATTGCAGCTTACTCATTGTTCTCATTTATGCTTAAGAGATGACATGACTTGAGTGAAGCTGCAGTACGAGAAAACACGACCCGTCCGTCCTTGCCGCCTCACCCCAAACCCTGCAGAACAGCC